CCCCCCCCCCCCCCCGCCAAGATACGAGAGTATATAAAAGGGTCGCACTCCAAACATACCAATTTCAGTTTGGAGTCGAGAAGAGTGACGATTGAAAACAAGGCTGTGAAGAATTTTCAGAAGACAAGAATCAAGAGATTTTAATTTGACAATGAAACTTGGAACTGTTCTAATCCTTGCTCTGCAGGTGTATCTTTTCTCGCCACTCAGCAGGTACTATCTTAAAATTTCGTATATTTCAGATCAAAGTAAGGTGAAAGCTCTCGTAAACAAGTTCCAAACTTTTGTACACTATATCATGCAACTCAGTTAACTGGCATTATTCTCCTTAGAAGAGAAATTCGCAACAAATAAATTTTATTTTTTTAAACAGAATCGTCCATCGGGGAAACCGATGTCATTCGTGTATTTGATCCGAAAGTAAAATTGCCACTTCCTGAAACGAGAGCGTTGTTGACAAAAGCAGATCTAGTTTCAGCTGGCTTCACGAAAACTGAAGAAACTCAGATCGTAACGGGCGAGAATGGTAAAAAGCGAAAGAAGCTAGTCATTTCTTATATAGTCCAAGACGCCTGTTCCAATGTTACATTCTGGGAGGAAAAACTTCGCACTCGTCTTCCAATATTTTCGAAAAGTTTAACAAGGAAAGTTATCGATGAAGTGGAGGAACGGATCGATAATCGTACAACCGAGTATTGACGATTTGGTATCGAGATCCACTTCAATCCATGCAATCACGCTGAGATAGAAAAGGAAAAAGCAAACCGTAGTCGTAGATCGATGGTATCTAGAATGCTGCAATTACGGGATGTTAAGTCGTCGGAGTGCTGTAAATGCTGTCCTTGCTGTAGTGGTTGTGGGAAGACTGAAATCAAGTACACGCCTGTAAACTAATGAAGACACCATGAGAAATGATGATATTATACTCTACTTTATTGAACTTATTTGTTTATTGTTAAGCTGTTTACATTTCGTTTCATGATTTTGATATTAAAATACACCAGCATTGAAAACCCCACTTTTTGTTCATTAGCTTGTTTCCCCCCCGGTTGCCCCCAAAAGCACCCGTGACCGTGTTTGATTTAGTTGCTGCCATAGCGAACAATCCTAAAGCAAGCGATCTTTCTATAGAAGGTGAAACTTCGATTTTTCCTATACCTAAGTATTACGTGTACCTAAATGTATTGCGGTCAGCTATTCAGCTGCAGCCCTAGGCCAGTGAACTCTCTATATATATATATCTGGAACGATAACATTCAGTCATTTGATTGTGAAAACAATGAAGCCTCGATACCAGTCTTTCACGCGGATTGGACGTCAGTCTCAGTCCCTCAAACGTCAGGTTTACGCAAATTGGACGTCAGTTTCATTCCCCCTCTTGCAAACCGTTGCACGGCCAGTATAAATTTGAACGCAATCACGAAAAAAAATTAAAAACATGGCCAACTCAATGCAATACATTTTAGGAGCAAACTGTTTTGCTCCTAAAATTTACTGCATTGAGTTCGGCGGCGAATCGCTGTCGGAAAAAGGTCGAGGAAAACTTCCCCGTGTGGAGAAAAGAATCACCTTTTCAAATATATTGTGTCGTACTGTCGTTCTGGATGCACAAGGAAAGAGAGATTCTTGCGAGAAAATTTCATTTCACAGGTAGGTAAATTGACTTGCAACTGTGACTTTGCCGTTGCCATTTTTCGCGATTGTTTGAATTGTTTTTTAG